CAGGAGGCGCCGAGCCGCTACCGCCGCTGCCACTCGAGCCGCCTCGGAGCCAGAGCCGGCACCGCCTCCCGCGGCCGCCGCTACAAGCTCAGGGGGCGGGGCCAATAGCGGACACGCCTAGGGGCGGGGTCTCCGTGTCGGGCACGCCCCTGCAGGGCTTTAAAGGCGCCGCGCGTCGTAGCATGGAGGCTGGCTTGGAGGAGTGGGGAAGTGATGTGAGAATCGTCTGCCGTCTCACTTTACGTTTTCATTCGGTTCTCCTTGCCTTGCTGTCCAGCCTCTCCCCGCGATGGGCTGGTCTGTGAGAAGAGCCCTCTACCCACACCTTCATACCGGGTAGCCTCCTTTGACTACAGATGGGAGACGTTCCTAAGGCCTCCAAGTGTGGGAAGCCTGTACTCAGTGACGCTTCAAGTGTAGTCTACCCCTCACTGATTCTGTGTGACTCTGGACTCTTCTATCTGAGCCTCAGTGTCCTTTTCTGTAAAGCGGGCAGATGAGCCCACTGTTACAGTGGCCCACTCGGGGGCGCTCCTGCTGCTGATGGACCGTGCCTCCCCCTGTGACCGCAGTGTATCGCAGCAACCCACAAGTGCTGCGCTGCCCCGCTTCCCAGGCGCCGAAGCTGAGCTCAGAGAGGAGCGACATGCAGAGGGCACAGCGCCCCTAAGTGTCCCATGAGTGGTTGCAAGCCATTGGGCCTCATGCCCATTTCACAAGGCTGCTTTGCGGGGGCAATAGCGGACACGCCTAGGGGCGGGGTCTCCGTGTCGGGCACGCCCCTGCAGGGCTTTAAAGGCGCCGCGCGTCGTAGCATGGAGGCTGGCTTGGAGGAGTGGGGAAGTGATGTGAGAATCGTCTGCCGTCTCACTTTACGTTTTCATTCGGTTCTCCTTGCCTTGCTGTCCAGCCTCTCCCCGCGATGGGCTGGTCTGTGAGAAGAGCCCTCTACCCACACCTTCATACCGGGTAGCCTCCTTTGACTACAGATGGGAGACGTTCCTAAGGCCTCCAAGTGTGGGAAGCCTGTACTCAGTGACGCTTCAAGTGTAGTCTACCCCTCACTGATTCTGTGTGACTCTGGACTCTTCTATCTGAGCCTCAGTGTCCTTTTCTGTAAAGCGGGCAGATGAGCCCACTGTTACAGTGGCCCACTCGGGGGCGCTCCTGCTGCTGATGGACCGTGCCTCCCCCTGTGACCGCAGTGTATCGCAGCAACCCACAAGTGCTGCGCTGCCCCGCTTCCCAGGCGCCGAAGCTGAGCTCAGAGAGGAGCGACATGCAGAGGGCACAGCGCCCCTAAGTGTCCCATGAGTGGTTGCAAGCCATTGGGCCTCATGCCCATTTCACAAGGCTGCTTTGCCCCCCTGGGAAAGGTGTTATTACCCTATCACCGCTGTCTAGGGTGCTCTCTCCAGACCTCTGGGTCACGCTCAGGAACTGCTTCCCAGAGAGCAAGAGGACTCGATTTTAACCCCCAGATACCAGCTCCGTCCTCCCCTCCTCTCTGAGCTCCCTGGACTCTGACTTTCCCTGTGAATTACTCTGCGGCCATCTGATGTCCCCAGAGAGCTCCTGTCTTCCTGTGCCACGCGGGCCGAGGGGTGACATAAATTGCATCCCAGGGGCGATCTTAGGAGTCCCTCTCCCACCCTCCCTGCCATGCTGTCAGATGATGCATGTGACTCCTCTTTCAGCTTCCGCTGGGCAGCACCCTGGCCAGGGAGGATGGAGGGCTGGCCCTCTTGGGGCACAGGAACTCTGTCCCCCTGAGCTATGGCTTAGTCGGCTGGTGACAGCTGACAGTAAGTGAGCAAGGTCCAAGCCTGCAACCCCTGAGCTGCCCATCCCATCCCACCCACATACCCTTGGGCTGTGGAGGCATTTTTGAGGAGCTGGGGTTACTGGGGGCTGTCTGGCATTCCAAAGGACCTCAGCCCTGACTCCAACCACCTCTGCCCAGCCATAGCTTCCAAAAAGCTCTGCAGTGAAACCCAAGCATACCACCCATGGCATATTGCTCCAGGACTTCATAGAGACTGCCACCCCTCCCAACCTGTCCCCACCCCTTTGGCCTAGGAACACCTGGAGGATTCTGATTCCAAGTGAGTGCTCCACATGGGGCTGGGCAGCCTAGTGACTGGTCTGGGACACTTAGAGAATGAGTGAGCGAGGGACCAAGAACTGCAGGGGGTAGGAAACTCTTGCGAGCCAACGTCTGGGCCAGACGTTTCATGGTGACCTTTTTAATTCTCATACAGTTGTACAAGGAATTATACATCCGTTTCACAGATGAGAAATCAAGGCTTAGAAAACTCATGGTGTCTGCTCATCACTAGGCTGCTCATAGGGTCAGGGTTGCCATTCAGGCCCTTCTACTGTGTAGGCCACCTGTCACCACTCAGAAGAAGGGCACCTGCCTGGCGGCCCTGCTTAGCAAACACGTGGCTGGAAGGAGCTGGGGCAGTGGTGGTGAGAAAACAGGGCCATCCCCACGCATCCCTGTAATCAGTGCTCAGCTCTCTACAGAGCTGTGCAGGACCAGAGGCGGGACCGGGAAAGGGAGAGGCTGTCTCTGGTGCCGAGAGAATGAGGGAGACAAGCCGCAGCCCTGTGCCCGGCACACAGTGCACACAGGAGCCATGAGCGGTGCTGCAGCCAGAGCCTGAACTTCCCAAGGAGCAAATGCAGGAGTAGGGTACGTTCGAAAAAAGGACCGGGTTTGACCACCTGGTGGAGGGTAATGGGAGCTCCCAAAATGTCTGGCGGCTTCTCCTTGCCCAGGGTGAATCTGGTGCCCCAGGGATGCAGCAGAAGCCCTTCAGGCAGAGCTTCCCACCCACCTGTTCATCTGCCCCTCCACCCCCCAGAAACACCAGGCCACATCATGCCTTCAGGCCTTAGCCTGGGCAGTTCCTGCAGCCCAGAAGGCTTGTTTCCTCTTCCGTTCTGTCCAACACACATCTAGGGCTGAAGCATCACCTCTGGGGCAGTCCCCGGCTCTGGACAGGGCTGCAGCTCTGCTCTGTGGGCCTGGGGTCCCTGCCCACCCACCATCCCGGTATGCCCTGAGCCCGCCATTCATTCCCCGTCTGCCCCAATAGCAGCAGCTGCTCAGGGGTCATGGGAATGTACTTCTCTCTCTCTGGATGTGGCTGGAGAGGCACAGGTGCGTGGATGATGGTCTGGGTATCCTTGGGAGGTGGGCTCTGGAGCTGCCCCCTCTGCTGGCAGCCAACTGGGAGGCTTAGGCTGCTGGGGACATCCCAGTGCTGGGAAGGTCTGGGAGCCCTGTTTTGTGCGGCCAGCCCCAACCCGCAGGGGTGGAGAGGAGTCAGGCCCTTCTTCTGGTAGCTCTAGTGGGGAGGGTGCCCCAGGGGCTGTGAGATGCCAGGCCCGTCACCATGGCAACAGCCACTCCTGGGGAAGCCAGAGGGGTGGGGGGGGGGGCCGACCCGCC